CCCGTCCTGCCAGGGGCACTGCTGGAGGAGGGGACGCCATCCGAGGGCAAACGCGGGGGTCCCCTGCCGCCACCGCCAGCCTCTGGGGCCCCCCCTGCGGGGCCCCTCCCGGCCTCCCGCTGTCAGCCCCGAATTATTCACTGTCTAGGCAGCGCCCAGAGCCTGCCTGGAGGGGCTGGGAGCGCGCCCGAGGTCAGCTCCCGAGAGACCTGGACCCTGGAGCAGGGAGGGGAGGGAGGCTGAGCGCAGGGAGGTGGAATCGGGCCTGGCACACCGCAGGTGCTCAATAGATACAGGACGTTTGAGGCACTGGGGTGGGGGCTGTCAGACACTCAAGAGCTGGAGGCGACAGCTGTCCCCAGGCCGGCCTGGGCACGGGGAGGGACGGTCTTCCTGGCCCCTCACAGTGCAGGGTGTAGAGGGATGGATGGAGCCTCCAGCGCTGAAGTGCAGCAGGAGAGGCCAGGAGGCTAGAGGCAGGGCTTGGGCTGGGCTTCCCTGGCAGATGACTTCCTTAAAAGTCCCCAGAACTAGCACTCTGGGAGGCCGAGGCAGGAGGATCACAAGTTCAAGCCCAGCCTGGACAGCTGACTGATTTATTAGGACACTGTCTGAAAGATTGGAAACCGCCCCCCCTCAAGTTAAAAAGGGCTAGGGATGTAGCTCAGTGCCAAGGCCCTGGAGCCCTGGTTCAATTCCCAAGAGTGAAAAAAAAGCAGCCCCCACATCCATTCAGGGCTCCAGATCAGGGTTCTGCCAGCTAAAGTGGGGCAGCAAGGGGTGTTCAGGATGGGCACAGCGCAGGCAGAGGCATGGAGATCAGACTGCCCTGGCCAAAGTCCTTGGCAGGGGAGCCTTGCGAAGGGTCCGTCCTGCTTTGGGTGGGGAGAGAAGGTGCCTGTGGGGCTAGGCCACCTTTTGAGGCTGTGTGGAGGGCAGGGTGAGGCGGGGCTTGTAACCTAGGCTCACTGGCCTTAGTTGGCTGGACTTGGCCTGACTTAGGCCTGGAGTGGGCCAGGATGACTGACCAGCCTTGACCCTTTCCTGCCCAGTCCCCTAGGCTGGCCCAGGAGGGGCCACAGCCCAGGCACTGAGTTGGAGGATGGGCCCCACAATGCAGGCTGGCAGGAAGCCCCTTCCCTGCTGCCCCACCCCCCATCCTTCCGGTCTCAGCCCACACCTACATCCTTCCACATCCCTCCCCATCTATCCCATTGTCTGAGTGCCTGGGGCATCTAACCCGACATTTAACTTTAGGCCTTTGACACTCAAATCTCTCTTCCTTGGCAAGGAGCACTCCCATTTGAACTCCTATGAAACTGCAAAGCCCTGGCTGTAAGGCCCTTCCTCTATCAAGTCTTCCAGATCTCTCCATCTTACTCCCTTCAACCCCTCAGGGCACAGTTCTGAGCCCCAGCTCTTGAGAATCCCCTTAACTGGAGAAGGATGTGGGTGGACACAGACCATCCCAGGCCCCTGGGGTCAGGGTTGGGCCAAAGAAAGTGACCTGGCCTGGGGAAGCCCAGAGGTGAGGTCCGGAAGTCATCCTGGGGGGAAGGAGTGTGGGAGCTGAGACTGGGGCTGCAGATAGGGCGGGGCGGAGAGGGGGAGGGAGGCCGTTCCTTCCACTCCACTGTCCTCAGCCCCAGGTCCCCGCTGGGGAGGAGCCGGGCAGGGGTCCGAGCCAGCTGACTTTCCGTTTCCTGTCTCACAGGTCTCTGCAAGGCAGGAGGAGAGGGCGTCTGTTGTACACATGGGGAAACTGAGGCTCAGAGGGAGGGTGATAAGGCCCCTTATGGGACTTAAGCATGGGCTCTGTGCGCTGCAGGGAGCCGGCGGCTGGTTGGTCCCGACCCACACGTCCATCCCGGGTGGCAGGGCGGAGCCTCCGGGCTTGGAGGGCTGGTGGTGGGAACAGAGACCCGGCTCAGGATGTGCCCCCCATGGCTGTGGCTTCCGGCCGGGCAGGCAGCAAGCGGCTATTCTTAGCTTTGGACACAGCTGAGGAAAGGAAGAGGCTGAGGCAGGAGCTGGGGGCAGCTTCCGGGACACTGGCGGACCTCAGGCCGGGGCCAGGGTGGGGGTCGTGGGGCTGCCCTGCCTCAGCCTCCTGTTGGCTAGAGAAGGCTGCCTGCTTGGAGCCCCTGCCTGGGTCATGAAACTTCTGTGGTTCCCCAGGGCCCGATGGAGTCCAGCCCTGAGGCCAGGCCTTCGGGTCCCACCTGCCGCAGGTCCTGCCCTCCTCTCACATGCCCCTCCTCCAGGGAGCCCTCCAGGCTTTCCCGGAATTCCCCTCACTCAGGGCACCTCTTGCCTCGGCTCTGCCCCCAGAGGTCCACACCCTGCCGAGACTGCATGCAGGACACAAGGAGGACACTGGCGCTGAGGGGGTGCATGCAGGGACAGAGGGAAACTGAGGTCGGACATGGGAATGTGCCACGTCGCAGCCGTGCTGGGGCCGGAACCCGGGGCCTTGCACACACCAGGCAGGCACTCTCCACCAGTCCGCTTTGAGACAGGGTCTCACCAAGTTGTCCAAGCTGGCCTTGAGCTTGCGACCCTCCTGCCTCATTTTCTTGAGTAGCTGAGACGACAGTCAGGCACTGCCATGCCCTGCTCTTCCCTGTTTCTTGCCCAAGCTCTGAGTTGGGGTCAGAGTGCCTCTGGGGATGCCATACTCAGCCCTGCCACCAGGGGCCTGGCCCACAGCCCACACTCAGCCATGGGTAGCTCAGCTCAGGGATCAGTAGGTAGAGGCTGCCTGGATGCACTGCTCTGTTGTTCTGATTGATTAGCAATGTCTGCCACAAAAAAATGGGATAGTGCTGCCACAAGTTATATATTTTTCACTCTGGACTAGGTTGGTCTTTGATTAGACAGACTTTGCTGCCATCCCTCAAGCCCCACACCACAGGTTCCTCAGCATCAGAAGTCGGCTTGGACAGGTGTGATGGTGCACGCCTGTCATCCCAGCACTCAGGAGGCTGAGGCAGGAGGATCACTGGGTTTGAGGCCAGCCTGGGCTACATAGCGAGACGCTCCCTCAAAAAGAAAAGAAAAGAAGTCAGGGCTGGGAGGTGACAGTGGGTGACCTGCCTGCATCTCCGTCCACCACAGCTCCTCAGCCTTGGCATAATGGATACTGGGCAGCTCGGGGCATGCATGATGCAGGGCAGTAGCCCTGGCCTTTGCCCACTCCACATCAAGAGCAGCCTCAGTGTGACAACCACAGATGTCCCCGCCCATTGCCAAGCATTCTGACCTCCTAGTCCCTCTTCCTTCCAGAGGGGACAGTCGTGTCCCCTGCTCAGGAAGCAGCGGTGATGGAGACAGAGACCAGGACAGCGGCTTGAGACTCCATGTACCGTTTAGTTTTTTTTTTTTTTTTTCTCCCCGGTACTTGGAATTGAACTCACGACCTTGCGCTTGCCAGGCAGGTGCTGTGCCGCTGAGCTAAATCCCCAGCCCCTCTATGTACTGTTTAAGTGTCACGCTGTGGGTGTGACGGCGCCCCGGCTGTGACAGCGGCACTGTGGTATGCAGCACGTCACTGCCGGGACCCCTGGGTGTGGGTGCTGTGGCCCTTTGCTCTCTGCCAGCTCTGACTCTAGAATGAAAGCTTATCACAAACACATGCCGGCTCATGGAGACCAAGCAACAAAAATAAAACGAGGCTTTTATTCCCACTTAGAAAAGTTTTCCAGAGAAACAGACTGAAATGATTTCCAGATGAGACGAGGCTTGGGTGGAGCCCTCGGTCATGACAGCTGGTGTCGGGCAAGCCAAGAAGTAGCGCTTCAGGTCCCCCGAGGACTGCGATGACACAGATGTCACCATACCTCAGCACGGAGGAGGAGGGCCGTGGGCACCTGTGTGGCCCTGCCTGGCTGACCGATGCTCTGGGAGGGGCCAGGCTGGACATGGCCTCCTCCCTGCTAGCTGCTCCTCCCGCGGCCCGGCACAGCGGCCTGCTCAGGGCAGGGCCCCGGTGCGCTGCTGCCTTGTCCAGAGGCCAGGGGCCAGCATCCAGGTCTGACTCTTCCCTGCACATTCCCGGGGTGAGAGTAGGTGGCCCTGGGCCTCCTGGATGGGGAAGTCTGTTGACAACTGCCAAACCCCTCGCTCTGGCAGTCCTTTCCAACACGCAGCAGGCTGAGGCCGCCCCCTGTCCCCTCCGTTCTCCAAGGCCGGTTCTATGGCTTGACCCTGTGTTGTGCAAGGGGAGACGGGGGCCCGGTGGGAAGCTCCAGCTGGGGGCAGATGCCACCCCTGCCCGCCGTCATCGGCGGTAGCGGTAGCGCTTGAAGTGGAACCAGAGCTGGAAGATGCCGTTGGCGAACTGGCAGCGGAAGCCGTGGCGGTGGGAGTACTCCCACTCGCGGTTGACGATCTTGAAGGCGATGTCCTCGTAGGGCGGGCCCGCGTGGAAGCGCAGGATGGCGAAGTCCTTGTTGTCGGTGCAGGCCTCCAGGAAGTACTCGGGCGTGGAGCGCTTGTCGATGAGGTCGGGGTAGAAGATGTTGAACTTGTAGCCCTGCACCATCTTGGGCGGCGGGTTGTCAAAGTCATAGTGCGTCCGGTTGTACTTGTTCCACTCGAAGCCCGTGTGCACGCGGTTGAAGAAGCGCGGCTTGCGCGGCCGGTACTTGTCGGCCCACAGGTAGGCCTTGCTGCTGAGCGGCAGCTCCACGCTGAACTGCGCCTCGTCCTGGCCCATGCCCTCCTTGGCCCGCCGGAAGAAGATGTCCTCGGCGCTCTCGCTGGCGTCCCCTGCACGGGCAGGCGTGTGTGTCAGCCCAGGTCTCCCGCCTGCTCTGGGGGTGCCGCCCTTGGCACCTCCAGCAGAGGGGAACCCACTGCTCCAGGGACCTGCACGGCTTCCAGTCCTGCCCCGGGTCCTGCCCCAGCACCCCCAGGCTCCCTACACAGCTCTGCGCCAGCCTGACCCCCTCACAGCCCTGCCTCCAGAGACACTGCTGCCCCCACAGGCCCCGCCCCAGTGACCCCTCTCTGGCAGCACCACCCGCACACCCCAGCGGGGTGGATCACTAGCTGACCCCGGGGTGAGCTTCTGCACCCTCAACCAGCCCGCCGGTCGCCCCGCCCCGCCCTGGCCCCGCCCCACAGACGCCCGGGCTGTACCCCCAAAGCCCCGGCCCCCACGCACCCCCCCACGCACCGGTGACCTGGAGCTGCTGCCGTGACAGCTGCAGGCGCTGCAGGTCCTCGTCCGGCTCCAGCACATGCGCGTCCAGCGGCAGCTCGTGCGCCGTGAGCAGCCGCGGGCTGTACCTGCCCGCGTCGTAGTCGTCCAGGCTCTGCTGGATCAGGTCCTCCTCCATGAGCACCGCCTCGCCCTCGCCCTCGCCCTCGCCGTCCCCTTCGCCCTCGCCGGGGGCCGCCTCCTCCTCTGCAGGGCCGCCCTCCACCGAGGGCCCGGCGGGCGGCTGCTCAGGCTCCTCTGGCTCCAGGCTACAGACAGAGCGGACGGTGAGGGGCGCCGCGCCAGGGCGGTGCGGGCCCCCAGCCCCGGCTTCCCGCCTACCTCTGGCTGGGGGACGGCGGCTCCTGCTTGAGGATGGGGAACAGGGGCCCACTTTCCACGCCCTGCTCCTGCTTCAGCTTGTACAGCTTCTGCCGCAGCACATCCTGGTGGCGCTCTCGGAGCCTGCGACAGGATGGCGGTCAGCCAGGCTGGGCGACAGGGCCAGCGCCCACCCCCACACCCTCCTCACCCCACTCTCCCTCCCAGGACGCCTGGGCTCTGGGGCCCCCGCGGGTTGGGCCCAGCAGTCTGCCCCTGAGCCCTGCCCTGGGTCCGGCACAGGCAAAGGCGACCCGAAGGGCCACAACTGGGGTGAGGCGGGGAGGGCAGGAGGGGCCAGCCGGGCACGGAGCCCGGAGGATGACAAGCTGACATCGTTTACAGAATGACAGAGGCGACAGGCGCGGCAGCAGTGTTTACGAGAGCGTGCCAAGCACGCGGGGAATCCGTGCACGCTCTCGGACACGGCAGCAGGGCCGGACCTCCTGCGCGGCCGAAGCGGCCACCGGCTTACCTGGCGCGGGCCATGTGTGCACGCAGCTGCTGCAGCAGGCTCTCCCAGTAGCCCATGTCCAGGTTGGGGCCGCCAGCCCGGATCTTGCCCTCGATGCCCTGGAAGATGACCTGCAGCTGCGTGTAGGTCTTGCCCTTGAACACCGACTGCACGTCCGAGCTGACCGAGGCATTCACGCCTTCCCTGCGCTCGCCTGGGGGCGGGACGGGTGGGGGTGGGGCAGGGCTGCTCAGGGCGGGCCGGGTGCGGCCCCGCCTGTGCTCGCCAGCTGCCCCTCCCCGGGCTCGGGCCATGCAGCCTGGCTGGGGGCAGGCCGGGCACTCGGGGAGGAAAGGTGGAGAGCACAAGCCACTTGGGTCTGGACAGGGAGGGCAGGGCCATCAGGCGGGGGCTGTGCTCCCCGCCACGCTCGGCTTCACACAGCAGGGGCTCAGGCCCAGCACCACTAGGTGGCTGTCCCCTCCCCCGCCACAGCAGCCTCCGTGCACAGCCCGGGCGGCAGGGGATCCCCTGCTGCCCCCTGCTGGCTCCATCTGGCTGGAGAGGCCTGCAAAAGGGCCATGCAGACCAAAGGCAGGGCAAGTGGGGCCTGCTGAGGGTGCCAGGCCCTGCAGGGACTCTGAGGCTTGCGGCAGGACCGTGTGGCCCACCGAGGCTCCTACCACACCCGACAGCACAGTGTGTGGCTCAGCTCACCCGGCTGGGGACAGCGCCCATCCAGTTACCTGGGCCCTTGCCTGAGGCCTCCAGCTTGCGGAGCTTGGAGATCTCATCCTCGGTGATGATGGTCATGTCGCGCCAGAAGTCTGCGTTCTTGCCCTGCTCCAGCTCCATGTATACCTGGGAGGGACCGGGTGGTGAGGGAGGGGCTGGGCCAGGGGCGGGGCCACAGGGGGGGGCGGTCGGGCCAGGGCACCTGGATGTCCTCCAGCAGGTCCTCCATGTCGGCCACGGTGAGCCCGTTGAGGAAGGTGTACGGCTCATGCATCTCCACAGCCAGGTCATCGTCCTCGGCGCTGATGTACTTGGCCAGCAGGTCGATGGGCTTGGCCCGCCCATCCCGGATGCGGATCTTGGAGCTGTGGGGCACCCGGTGTTGGTGTTAGAGCAGGGACAGGGACGGCCTACCGTGGGGGCAGGGAGGCCAGCAGTGGGCAGGTGGGGAACAGGGCGCCAGCTAGGCCCAGCGGGGCAGGGACAGGTGGGTGGGCCGAGGCGGCCTCCAGGTGTGCCCAGGAGGGCACTTGGGGCCGGGCTGCATGGGATCCCCAGCGGAGTGAAGAGTTGGTGGACTGGGGACCAGAGCAGACAGTGGCCACAGCCTGTGGGGCTGAGGAGTTGGACCGTCTCTCTGTTCCCATGGGGACCTGCCAGGCAGGTCTGAGTGCGCAGGGGCCCTGGAGGTAACTGGGGCACCTGCACTGGGGGACAGTGGCCACCACTGCAGGGAGGGGCCCAGCGGGCAGAGGGTGCCGAGAGGGGCGGGCGAGCGCACCGCAGCTTGGCCTGCTGCAGGTGGAAATGGTCCTCCTGCTCCTCCCAGGTCTTGAAGTGCTCCGCCTCCTTCTCCCGCTGCAGCATCTCCAGCTCCTGCTCCCGCATGGCCTTCTCGCGCTCCCGCTCCAGCCGCAGCTGCTTCACCTGGGGGCAGCACGGGTGAGGAGGGGGCTTGGTGGGTGGGATGGCCACACAGGCCCATCCGTCCCTGGCCTACGCCCTGTGCCTGGCTCGCCCTGCGATGCTTGGGGCGTCGGGCAGATGCTGGGGCGGGACATCCCCTCTTTCTGCTGCAGACCCAGCAGCCAGAGTGGCCGAGAGGACAGCAGAGCCCAGAACTAAAGGCAACAGCTCCCTGGACCCAACTGTGCCTGAAGTCAGGACTCTGGACCTCTCGTCAACCAGGTCCCAGCGATGCCCGCGGGCCTGCGGCTGCTCACCTTCTGCAGCTCCAGCCGGTTGTCCTCCTGGATCCTCTTGTTCCGCTCTTTCAGCTCCTTCTCCTCTAGGTGGCTGATCCCCTTCTTCTCCAGGGCCTGCACGGAGCGAGCCGGCACTCAGCACTGGTGCACCCAGCCAGCCGGCACCAGGGCCGAAGGGCGGAGCGCGTGCTCTGCGCAGAGAGTGACTGTGGCTCAGTGTCTTCTCCGGCCCCCCTTGGAGTTCCTGGGGCCAGCCCGCTGTGACGGCGCTGCACGGGACCGGATGTGGGAGGCTGCAGAACCCAGGGCTGGAGCAGGTCACGTGCCCTGGGTGCTCACTTCACACCCAGGTGAAGCCTCGGTGCACCAGCGCCCCCACCTGCGTGCAGGGCAGAGGCAGGAGGGCAAGGAGCGGCACAGGCTCAGGACACAGATGGGCCTGGGTCACTGGAGGACAGGGCGCGTGGCTCCCCAACACACACCACACACCTGTGGCAGCATGTGAGGAGCTCTGTCCCGGGGACACTGTGACCTTGTGTGACAGCTGTGCTCCTCACTGGCTCCCCAGGCCCCCAGTGCCCAGGAGGCTGTGCAATGGTCCCCTGATGTCCGGAGAAACAGCCTCTGGGGCGACATAGGGCTGCCTGCTCCAGAGTCCCGCTCTGCGGCCCTTTTTTTCCCAGTCTCAGGAGGGGACGGTGGTGCAGCCCGCACTTAGGCTCCGCCACTGCAAGTGCACAGGGCGCCCTGAGGGGGACACGGAGGCCCAGGGAGCGCAAGCAGCCGCTCTGAGAGGGCACGGGGTGAGGTCTACAGGAGGAGACAGGCAGTGCCCTGGGCAGAGGACAGGCAGGTAGGTGCAAAGGCCCTGAGGCAGCCCCTCCCACGTGGAGCCCCACAAAGCCAGCCATGCACCCTCACGCTGAGTGAGGGCCAGATCCTGCTTGCCTCACCCAGGCGTCCCCTGAAGACATGAACATGACGCAGCTGAAAAGGTATGCGGTGCTGCTTATGGTGCTCGCCCTGGTGTAGCAGAGTCCTCCCCCGATAGCCAGCGCCCTTACAATAGGCCACGGGGACAGACAGAAAAGAGAAGGGTAGACATGGAGACTCGGGGTTGGAGGGAGACAGTCACGCAACAGCAGAGGCACAGCCAGGCGTGGGGCTGCTCGCCTGTAATCTCAGCACTCGGGAGGCTGAGGCAGGAGGATCATTATGAGTATGTGACCAGTCTGGGCTACAAAGTGAGCTCAAGGCCAGCCTGAACTGCAGAGCGAGACCCTGTCTCAAAAAGACAAAACACAGAAACAAAACAAAACAAACAAATAAAAAAAAAAACAAAACAGAGGCAGAGGGGTGCTAGGCTGTCACAAGCCAAGGAGCACCAAGGCCAGAGGTGGACCACTGGAGACCCTGGGTAGAGCGGGGGGCCAGCAGCACTGTAAGACAGCAGAGCCCACTGGCTCCGGCCCATGCCCATGCCGAGCATGTGACGGCGCTGGTGGCTCAGCGGCCAAGTGGGGTGGAATGACAAGCACAGAAGGTACACGGTACCTGCCACCACAGAGCCCGACCTGGGGCCCAGGGCAGGAACATTCCTTTGTCCAGGAATCCTGGGCCGAGGCTGGTTCTGGGCAGACAGGACTCACACTGTGACGCTCAGCAGCACAAAGGTGACAGGGCCGAAGGCGGGAGGTGTGCGGCAGGGTGCTGGAACCCTCAGGCTGTGGTGGCCCGAGCATGGCCCCTTCTGGGGTTCCATTCCAGCACCAAAACCAAATTTTGAAGACATAATGTTATTAAGGTGGGCCTGGTGGTGCACATCTGTCATCTCAGCATTTTGGAAGGCTAAGGCAGGAGGATCTCGAGTTCAAGCCCAGTCTGGGCAATTTAGTGAGACCCTGTTTTAAAGTAAAAATTTTAAAAAGGCCTGGGAATATAGCTCAGTGGCTTCTATCAGTACCACCCCCTCGACACACAAAAAACAAAAAACAAAAAACAAAAGAAAAAACCAAATGCATGTTATTTACGGGCTGCGAGCACAGCTCAGCAGTTGCATGCATGCTCAGGGTACCTTGGGCTTTGCCCTGGGTTCCATGCCCAGGACCAACAAAACACAGCAACCCTGGGTACTGCAGGTGCTCCAGCGGGGAAGAGCCCGGCTGTGGATGATGCAGGCGGCTCACCTTGTTCCAGATAAAGGTGCCCAGCAGGTTGTTGTCGCCGAAGGGGTTGTCGGTGTTGGTGTAGCCCATGTACTCCTCGCCCCAGCCCATCTTCTCCCGCTTCTTGCGCTCCTTGGCCTCTTTCTTGGCCAGACGCCGCGCTCGCTTCTCCTCGGGCGTCTCGAAGGCCTTGAGCAGCTCCTCCTGCTGCTTCCGCTCCTCTCGCAGCCGCAGCCGCTCCTGCAGGCTCTGCTGCTGGCTCAGGGCCGCCGCCGCCGCCACTCTGGGACTCTGCGAGCGCCCTGGGGAGGCTGCGCTGGACGCAGAGGACCGCGGGGACCATGAGCGCCAGCACCCGTGGCGGCTCCATGCTTGCTCCTCTCCAGAGTCTGATGGTGAGGACCTGCCCCGGTTCCGGGAACGCCAGCGGGGTGGCGGGGGGCTCCAGCTGCGCCTTCCTGGCCGCTGCCACCGCTCCTCCTCCGAATCTGACCTGTGAAGCAGACCCACCAAGGCCTGTTGAGTGCCTGCTGCTCAGGCATCCTTGGCCCGATGCTCAGGGAGAGCCTGCTGGCTGGCGGGCCCTGTGATAGGTGCTGGGGACACTTCTGCCTCCTTGGGTTCCCCACAGAAGATACATGAAAGTGAGCGTGCACAGGCGTGCATGCACGCGCACACGTGCAAACACACGCAGTCCAGGATTGGGAGGCCACAGGAGCCACAAATGCTCAGGGAGGGTGAGGGGATGGCCCTGCATGTCAGAGAGCTCAGTGGGGGATTCTCTGAGGTTACCAGGAGCAGAGGCGGAGGAAATAGGGGAGGAACCCAGGGAACATTTGGGCAAGCACCTCCCATGCAGAAGAAATAGCAGGTGCAAAGGCCCTGAGGCAGAATTTTTTTTTTTTTTTTTTTTTCAGGAGGCCCCTGCAAGGCCAAGGAAGGGAGGGGTGAGGAAGGTGAGCTGGGTAGGGACACAGGAGCCAAAAAGGTGGGAGCCAAAGACCCGAGTGCATTCAAGGTGTCCACGTCAGGCTACCAGGCGGAAGTGACGCTCTGACTGCGCCAGGAAGGCCAGGAGTTAGCTGGGGTGAAAAGGTAGAAGCAAAGAGCAGGGAATGACACTCGAGCCCCTAGGGACAGATCCTTTAAGGTCTCTGGTTCTCTGAATGTGGAGAACCACCACCAAGTATTTTCCTAAGTGCTCTATCTTGCTCATGTCAAAAAAATCTAAGCTATGGAAACCATTTTACTTTGGATCCCTTAAATACTAACTACAAACAATCAAATTTTCATAAACAACACTGATTCTAATTATAGTATCTAACATGGCTAATAACTGCAAATAACTCAAATAGCAGAAAACAGCACACACTGCTGGGCATACTGACTCGTCTGGTTTTTTTTTTGTTTTTTTATTTTTTTGTTTTTTTTCTCCGGTACCAGGAACCGAACTCACGACCTTGCGCTTGCCAGGCAGGCGCTTTTGCCGCTGAGCTAAATCCCCAGCCACCCCCCCCCCTTTTTTTTTTTTTTTTTGCTGACTCGTCTGTTAATCACTGGGGAGGACGAAGCAGAAGGGCCACTGAGTTTGAGGCCAGCCGCAACATGAGTTCAAGGCCAACCTGAACTAGATGGCAAGACCTTGTCTCAGGAAAAAAAAGGGAACAGTGCACATCAAAGATGATGATATTAAGACTTTGCTATGCTTGAGCCAATGTAAACACATCAAAGCCTGGGGCTTAAATAAAGGTCCACAAACATTTAGTTTTTCTTGGTGCCTTCCAGAGCCTTGTACATGCTAAGCACACACTGAGCTCCACCTGTAGCCTGCACACTTTCTGTAAGGGGGGCCAGGTAGTAAAGTTTTTATTTTCTGTCTGAGATAGGGTTTGGCTTGTAGTGATCCCCCTGCCTCCGTCTCCTGAGTGCTGGTACAGGTGTGCACCACTACACCAGGTGGTAATAAATATTTTGCACCATAATATACCTCGGCGGGCCATACAGTCTATACATAATACAACCACTCAACTGCTGTAGCACAAAGCTAGCCACAGCCAGTATATAATGAAATAAACACAGCTGTGTTCCAATAAAACTTTACTTCTGGACACTAAAATGTCTGGACACTAAATTCCGTATTATTCTCACTCATCGGAAATATATACTTTGTTTCGGTTCCTCTCCATTACTTACAAATGTAAAAATTAGCCAGGCAAGCTGGGTGTGGTGCTTACTTGGTTAGCTGAGGTGGGAGAATCAAGTTTGAGGCCAGCCTCCGGAACTCAAGAGACCCTACCTCAAAATAAAAAAAGCAAAGCCGGGTGTGGTGGCGCACGCCTGTAATCCCAGCACTAGGGAGGCTGAGGCAGGAGGATCGTTGAGAGTTTGAGACCAGCCTGGGCTACAAAGTGAGCTCAAGGCCAGCCAGAACTACATAGTGAGACCCTGTCTCAAAAAAAGACCCCCACCAAAAAAAAAAAAAAATTAAGAAAAAACGCAAAAAGGAGCTGGGAGTGGTGGCGCACGCCTGTAATCCCAGCACTCAGGAGGCTGAGATAGGAGGGTCATTGCGAGTTCGGGGACAGCCTGGGCTACAAAGTGAGCTCAAGGCCAGCCTGAACTGAATAGCGAGACCCTGTCTCAGATAAACCAAACCAAACCAAACCAAACCAAACCAAACCAAACCAAACCAAACCAAAAAGAAAAACAAAAAGGGCTGGGAATGCAGCTCAGTGCAAAGGCGCTGGGTTCAACCCCCAGTGCTCCTCCCCCAAGTAAAACTGCTTTTTCTTCATGGGCTGTCGTTTCCTGATTCTGTTTAAAACATGTCTTCCTTAAGTGCCTTCTGTTATTTTCAGCTTCCTGCAATTCTTGGGGCAGCAATGACTTTACCAGACTCAAAGCGCAAGGCATGTAGTAGAACCGAGAAGTGCTCTGCGGCGCTTTACTGGATTTTTTTTTTTTTTTTTTTTTGGTACCGGGAATTGAACTCAGGACCTTGTGCTTGCCAGGCAGGCGCTCTGGCACCGAGCTATATCCCTGGCCCTGCGGTGCTTTACTAGAGAGTGGCTAGGGTGTGGAGAACATCTAGACTGGCCCCACGGAGACCCTGCGGACACTGCCGGGGTAACCTGGGCGACAGCAGGTGGGACTGGACTGAGTATCGCAGCCCCCAGGGATCTGAGGCAGCACCGGACCCACGTCTGCGAATCAGCGTGCTGGGACTGGGGGCGGGGCTGAGAGGGCTCAAGTAAAGTCCGGCCAGATGCCCCGTCTCCAGAAGAAAGGACCGTGAGCCCTGGGGAGGCTGAGACACAGGTCACAGGAGTCAACTGCGCCTCCTGTCACTTGTCATCACACCCAGCCCTCCCACAGGTCAACGCCACCAACAACAGTTGTCGCCTCCACTTCCAAAGCCCCTCCCGATCTACCCACTTTCCCGCTACGCTTCCCGCAGGCGGCCACCTACTGCCTGGACAGCGGCGCCACCCTCTTCCGCTCCGATGCCGCTCCTTTCCTGGTCCGGTTAGTCCGACACGAGCCGGGACACCTCCTTCACCAGGAAGGCCTCCCAGACTGCGTCGCAGGGAGGGGCATCTTCAAGCTCCCCCGCCGGGAACGGCCGAGACCGGCGTCCACACCTAGCCATACCCCACAGGGGTCCCACCTGCGCTCCCGGCTCCGCCGCCTCCGCCGGCGACGCTCCTCGTCCTCGCGGGACCTGTGGCTTCGTCGCCCACGGCTGCCGCTACGACTTCGGCTCCGGCTCCGGCTCCGGCTCCGCCGCTTTCTGCCCCTGCGACCGGTGGAGCGCGACCGCGAGCGTGTGCCGCGACCCATTGGTGGCGACCGCAGCCGCGACGCGGACTCAAACAAACCGGGGCCCGCCCGGGGCCCTTCCTTGGCGGCGGCGCGTAAGGAGCTGCCCTGAGAGCGCCGGATCAGGGTGGGCGAGCCCTCCCGCAGCCCCAATCTGCGGAGACCCGAAGTCCGGGAACCTTCGCTCCATCTGCAACTATGGCTCGCGGGAACGGGCCCTCTCTGAGCCGCTGTCTCCAGGGCGGGGCGACTCGCTGTGCAGGCAGTACTAGAGGCAGCCCCTGCGGGTCCTGGCTCCTTATAGCGCCTGAGGACCGGCAGGCGGGGTGGGGGGGCGTGTCCAACTTGTGGGCGTGATTAAAGCCTGTCAGCCACTGCGGGGGCAGAGCCGGAGGGGCGGAACCGAGGAGAGGCGAGTTCGAGGAAGAAATAGAGCCGGGTGGGCGGGACCGAGGAGGCGTGGCCAACATAGGGCGTGGCTAAGGGAAGCGTGTCTTTCGCCAGGCCTTGCGAAAGAAGGACTCTAATTTAATTGGGTGGACGGCAGTCCAGACTGCTGTAGAAAGAGGGTGGGGAGAGCGTTTTAGATGTTGGTCTGGATCATCGTGCCCTATCACCTGCTGGTAAATACCTTCGCATTTCACAGGTTAAGCTTTTATTTTTTATTTTTTTATTTTTTTTGTGTGTGCGTGTGTGTTTTTGAGACAAGGTCTCGCTATGCAGTTCAGGCTGGTCTTGAGCTCACTTTGTAGCCCAGGCTGGCCTCGAACTCACAACAATCCTGCCTCAGCCTCCCGAGTGCTGGGATTACAGGCGTGTGCCACCACGCCCGGCAATACGTAGTTTTCTTTTTTTGTTTGTTTTTGGTACCGAGAATCGAACTCAGGACCTTGTGCTTGCCAGACAAGCGCTTGTGCCGCTGAACTATATCCTGCACCCACAGGTTAAGCTTTTAAAAAATTGGGATTACCCCCTAATTTTTTCATCAACTTTTTTTTTTTTTTTTTTTTGCGGTACTGGGGATCAAATTCACGACCTTGCACTTGCCAGGCAGGCACTTATGCCACTGAGCTATATCCCCAATCCTCATCAACCCATTTTATAGATGGAGAAACTGAGGTCAGGAGCGGGCAAGTCACTTTACCACCCCTCTCCTGCCTCACAATGAGGTATGTGGAGCTGGGATTTGCCATGTGGATACCGGCAGAGCGGTCTTGAGCGGTAGTGAGATGAAGGAGTTGGGCACTGGCTGTTAGGTGGAGTCCCCACTGGGAGCACGGACCATAGGCAGCACGACTGGTGGCCCTGAGCTCCCTTGGCCGATGGCCACGGCCTTCATCACCCATGGTTCTAAGCATACCCGGCCTGGGTTTGGAGGCTGACACTCGCTTTGATCCCTTTGGGTTGCACGGCTATCAGGGGCTTTGAACTGTTTCCTGAGTTGAACTGGAACCTGCAGGAAGTCATGGCTGTTCTACGCAGGTGTCTGGGTCTAATTTCTGTCACGTGTTGCCCAAGCTGGCCTGGAAATCCCAGATGCAAGCAATCCTCCTGCCTCAGCTTCAGTCTCCCAAATAGCATGTGTGCCAACGTGCCCAGCTTTGAATCTTTTTCGGGGCGGGTACCAGAGATTAAACCTGAGGCCTTCCCACTGAGCTATACCCCTAGTCCTTTTTTATTTTCAGGCAGTCTTGTTAAATCCCTAAATTCCCCAGACTGGGCTTGAAGTTACCTTCTTGTCTCAGCCTCTTAAGAGTGCTGGAATTACAGGAATGTGTCACCAGGCCCGGCTCTGGATCTTATCATTATAAATGTCACAAAGGTTTCTTCCCGGTGTGGATTGTCAGTCCTCCAACTCCCAACCCACGGAGCCAAACCAAGTCAAACTGATGTTTATACCCGATTTATTAGAGATCTCTTCAACGTAAAAAGTGGGGGTCTGGCGGGAGTGGGTAGGCGGGGCCCGGGCAACATACGAGTATTCTGTGGGGCCTGCAGCAGCTGTACTGCCCCAGGTGCCCAGGGGTCTGGGTTGGAAGGACATGGCCTGCCTATCAGTGCCACAGGAAGCCATGCTCCGGATTGTCTCACACCAGACCGCTGGGACTGAGGGTGAGGGACCCCTGGTGCGGGTTAAGACATGAGGTTTGCAGTTTTTTGTTTTGAAATGGTTCAGCCACACGGAGACTGGGGCAGCCCGGGGAATGGAACTTGTGACCACCGGAGAGGCGGCGGTGTGTGGAGGGGATGCTCATCCTGGAGAGACTGAGGGGCTGCGGCGACAGGACCCTGGCAACGGACCCCACGGGGATGGGAGTATTGCACTGAGCCAGGTGTGGAGGTGAGGGGACAGGTGAGATGGCCTGCGGGTGGAGGGACAGGCTGGAAGGGGCCACATGGGAATTTCCACCTTGCCAGTCTCAGAAAACGCCTCTCCATTTTTACAGTACAGGGATTTGGACATGGTCCAGGGTCTTGAGAGCAGCCGTTGGAGAGGCGAGGCAGGAGAGAGCTGGGTCATCGGGGTATTTACAGGTCTGCAGGGAGCGGGGGCAGCTGGTGCACCCGGGGCCTCCCTCCTGGGATCTGAGGAAGGCCTGGAGTTTGCCACGCGGTATAAATAGGTCTCTCTCGTGCACCCCACTGCCCCCGAAAGGACAAGCAAGCAAGGCCCCTCGATGCAGTCTGAGGGACACTTCGGAGTGCTTTTTGCAGTATTCTCGAAAGGGACGAAACACACAGCTCACACGACGTGGGGCTCCAAAGGAGCCTCTGGGACTGAACATAAAGAAGGGAATGTTGGGACGTCCCAGCGGGAGGGCTGCAGGTCTCTCCTCCCGGCCGGGCCCACGCCATGCGCGATGTGCGCGGGCCACTCCCTTCCTCCTGGAGACACAGGGCCAACTTCGGGACCCCGCCTTCTGCAGCAGGGCCACGTCCCTGGGGCCTGGGCACGGTGCCGGCACAGCTGACCCTGGGGCCAGGACAAACCCTTGTTTGGGCCCGCTGGGGTGGGGCCTCGGCGCCACGGCACAGCTGAGCCCCGCGAGGGTCTGGGCTGGAGTATGGGCTCCTTGTTGGCGGCTCCGGGAAGAACAGGCAGGCTCCCCACTACGTCACTGCAGAAGGGACACCAGGAGAGGCCTAGACAGCAGGCTGACATCTTGCAGGGGGCTTTAAAAAAAAAATCTAATTCCTGGCGGGGTTGGTCCTGATGCCGGTCTTCCGGGAGGCATGGCTTCAGCTCCAAGCACAGCCCAGTGCTTCCCTCGGGGCCCTTTGTGGGGGATCTGAGGAGTGGGCACATCTGCTGGGTCTTTCCTTCTGGACAGGCGTGGCCGTCACCGGCAGGCGGAACACCGGCACGTGTCACAGCAGCTGGACCATCAGGTCTGCCATCCCAGGTCGCCTGCTCTCCGATCCTGCGGCCCAAGGCCCGGCCTATCCCCTCTGGAAGTCGGAAGCTCCGCTCTGAGGCGTCTCCTGAGGGGGTCCACTCCTCCGGGGACGGTGAGGACCACGAGGGAAGGGACAAGTCCACAGCCCTGAGCTCGGCCGAGCGGGGGCAGCCGCACCAGGGGCAGGAGTGTGACGACCGGGCACGCTTGCTCACAGGCACCTGGGTCAGGGGATGTCCTTCCTGGTGGCTCAGCATGACAGCGAGCCCCCGGGGGCCACTACTGAGGATACACGTCCTGCACCGAGGCCCCCAAACCTGAGCGGAGCACGGGAGGATCTGCTTCCGGGAGAGGTGGCCTCAGCACACACAGGACAGTGGGACACCAGGAAGAGGCACCTGGAGACCTGTGCTGGAGTGTGACCCTCACCTGGGCAGCCAGGCCCCCCAGAGCCAGGTCCCCAGGGTGGCAGGAGTGGCCTTGCCCCTGCGGGACACATGCAATGGAGGCAGAGGACCAAAGTGCGGTGGCGTGGAGTCTCTTCCTCTTCTGGTTTGTGTCTTTTTTCCCCTAAAAAGCACCACATGCCTCTGTCTGTGCAAAGAACAAGGACCCAAAATAAATACACGACAGGACGCTCCGGAAGGTCGCCGTCTGGCGGGTGCAGTGCGGGTGGCCCAAGGTCGCTGATGACCTGTGGAGCATTGGGTGGGAGAGGTTTGGCCTGCGGCGTCCGTCAGGGGCAGGACGAGGACGAGGTTCGCTGGGGGTGGCCGCGGGGCGGCGTGTCCCCGAGCTCTGGGCCTCAGCTGGGCAGGCAGCGCCTCTGGGAGCGGCTGAGGTGGTGGCGGGCACTCAGCCCAGGTGGGGACTGCATAGAAATTACTGCAAAAGGAAAGGGGGTGTTGAGGGCGCGCGCGCGGGGACCTGGGCAAGGACCCCCCACCCATGGGCTGCCCAAAGCCTCTGAGCTGCCTGGCCTTGGGGCGACACAGGCCCGAGATACTGATGGCGGGGCCACCTGGACATCAGCGAGCCAGGCGCCAGCCCTCCCGCCCCAGCCTCAGTCTCCCCATCTGTCTGGGCTCCTGCTGGCCCCAGGGGACTCACTGTGTCGCTCTCGCCGTCGGAGGGCTGGGGCTGCGTGCTATAGTGGAGCGGGGAGTACACCCAGCTCCTGTCGTCGGTGGGCTGCGGGCGGGCGGGCACGTGCAGGGGCGCAGAAGAAGAGAGGGTGAGCGGAGGCGGAGAAGGCGGAGGAGGAGGAAGAACAGGAGAAAATGAAAGAGGCGGGCCCCTCGGACCAGCGCTGCCCCAACCCCAACGGCCTCGGCTCACAGGCAGTGGGCAGCGGAAGGGTTAGTCAAGGCTCAGGGACAGCGGGCATGGGGGAAGGCGGAGGGGAGGGTGGGGAACTGCAGCCTGGACTCTTCCTCCCTCCCCCAGCTCCTGCTCTGGCTCCTCGCTCCTCGCCCCCCAGAGCGGGCCCAGAGCCCGACCTCCCTCCAGACCAGCTCCTCCCGGCCTCCCACACTGGCGCCGGGTATCGGAGTCCTGGGACCTCCACGGGGGGCCCTGACCCATTCCCAGCCCGTGGTCCCCGTGCTGTCCACCCAAGCCTTCCTCCCAGAGCACGGGGAGACTTGCAGGCCACACCAGGTCCCTGCAGCACCACCGGGCCTGGCACAGGAGTGCCCAGCTCAGGCTCAGGTTTGGGAAGGGGGCCTCTGCTCCCAGCACCAATGTCCCCCCAGAACACTGGGGGGATTGCTGGGGGCTCCACTAGCCCCCCATGCTGACACCTTCTCTCTTCCCAGGCCTCCCCGTCACCCCCGGCTTTGGAGGCCCGCTGGGCGGACAGTGCCAGCCCTGAACACGCATGGGACAGGGCTGTGCCCATCAGCTGTCCTGTGACGCTTCAACATCACAGCGTAACACGGCATGTCCCCAGCCTGCTTCGCAGCGCTGCCCGTTGGCTCCAGGCCCCCTGCTCCCCGGAACCCGAGCCCACATGGTCTGGGTGCCGTCCCGGCTGGCGCCTTCCACCCTGCCCGGCGGGGGCCCTGGGCTCACCCGCCCCGCACCTTGAGGACGCCGGCCCACAAACCCTTCCCCAAGTCTGCCAGTTCCATCTCCTCCTGTGGCTCCTGGCAGGCCCCAGGGAGCTACCTGGGCTCCACACAGAGGCACTGGGGGCTGCGGGTGACGGGAGCGCTCAGCCTCCACTCGGAGGCGACACAAAACCCTGCCTTGTAAAGGTGGAGCGGCTGCCTGCCTCCCCGCCCCCCAGGGACCCAGCTCGGGGCTCGGCAGGTGAGTCTGGCCTCAGAAACACCCAGCCTGAAGGGGGTCCGCTCAGAAATGCCCAGCGCCACTCCCGGGTAGGGACGACCTACCCCTGGACACTTCCACGATGTTGGAAAAGGTGGAACAAGCTGGCCGTTCCCTCAGGAGCAGAGGACAGAGCGGGAACCCTGAGCGGCCAACTGGGGATGGGGCAGGACCCTGAGTTCCTGCACCCAGGCCAGGTACGGGTACGACCTTCGTGGCTGTCCGGCCTGGAAGCCGCCCCTCCTTCTCGCCTGTGCTTCTGCTGGGATGGTTTTTTCTTTCAGTGGCGCCGAGGGCTGAACCCAGGGCCTTCACACTGAGCTACATGCTCAGCCCTTTGTCTCACTTCTTTTTGAAACAGGGCCTTGCTAGGTCTCCCCATTGTCCACCTTGGTCTTAAACTTATGATCTCCCTGCTTCCTCCTTCCAGACTGCTGGGTTTATAGGTGTGCACCACCATGCCCAGCTCCCACTTCTCCTTCTACTGTACCCTCCGCTAAGGGGGTCCCAAACCTAGGCCTCTGCAGACCAATCCAGCCCCTGGGTGTACCCGGCTGCCAGCCAGAGCTGCCCCAGGCCGCGGCTTCGCGGCTCATGTCCTGCCACACAGGCAGGCGGGAGGTCTCTGCGTCCTGGGCTTGCTCCGCAGCGCCCGGCACATGGTGACACCCGGGGAGGTTTGATGACGGGTCAGGAGTGGGAGGGCGGCCTCCAAGGGGCTCCATCGGGAGAGTGGAAACTCGCTTCTGGTTGGTGCCCTGCCTGGCTGTGAGTGCTGTGCGGCTCTGAGCAGGTTACTCAGCCTCTCTGGGACCCTTGGCGGCTGATCAAAATGACAGTAGGCATCCATAATATCACAGCAACCAAATTTCTTTGTGGTATCTTGGGCACACTGGGTAGGCGAGTATCAACTCAATAAACAGTCTGCTGTTAAGCTACTGTAATACTCCAAACTTTTTTTTCCCCCAAAATCGTTACTAGGGCTGAATCCAACCTTAGAAAAACGTTCACCACTGAGACACTTCCCAGCCTTTTTTTTTGTTTAATTTTAATTCCCAGCCTTTTTTATTTTTTGAGAGAAAGTCTAAGTTGCCCAGTCTGGCCTTCGGTTGAAGAGCCTCCTACCTCAGCCTCCTGAGCAGCTGGGATGACAGGCATGCCCAGCTAGGGCACCTGGGTTTTGTCTGAGCCCTGTGTTCTCACAGGCTCCCCCGGGCTGAGGCCTCAGCGTCTCCATCTGGGGAGACCTGGGGGGCTCGCAGAGAGCTCAGTTCTGTGGCCACCTGTGAGCCGTACGTGGGGCGACGCTGGGCAAGCGCCGGCGTGGAGGGCTGACAGGACGCAGGCAGGCGGGCTGGGGTCAGGGTGACCCCGCCGCGGCACGCAGGCAGGCCCAGGGACAGTGCCCCGCACAGCGAGGCCGGCTTCCCTCTGGGCTCAGTGACTCCCCACGATTTCACCACTGTCTGTGTCTCCCCAAAGTCCTCTGAGGACCGAATGGGGCCGCTGGGCACTGTGTCTCAGGCCGGGGACCCGCAGCTCCCTGCTGCCCAGAGGTGGGCAAGGCCCCTTCTCCCCGGGGGGGGGGCCGGCTGCGGTCACTTACAGTCCCCGAGGAGCTCAGCGTCACAGCCCGCAGTCGGCGATGGCGGGGGGAGTAAATCCAGTACCTCCCATCCGTGAACTGGGCGGCGGGGCCGGAGGAAGAAGAGAGGACAGGCTGAGGTGCGGAGGGACAACAGCGCGGCGGGGACAAGCGACGGCAGAAGCAGAGGTGGGAGGACGCGGGGGACCTGCTCTGCAGCCCACCAGGCCCGGGACGCGTTGCCCTGGCTGCCCTCTCCATCCACGGCAGGGCACCGCGGCCGAGCCCTTCCTCCTCCGGGCCAGCGCGGACTTGGGGCCTAGGGCAGGCAGCGTGGCTCCGACACAAAGCGGGGTGTGTTAGTGAGGAAGGGGTGCGAAGCTGGGTGCCCAGGCCGCCCCAGATGACGAGGCCGCAGGAACTGCCCGTTCTAACCGGGCAGTCAGATCCCAGGTGGGCCGCACGGCGCTGGCCCCAGGACCACAGCTGGGCTCACTGGCCTGGGTCTGCGCCTGACTGACTCAGCCACCTGCGCGGGAGCCCTCCTGCCACTCGCCGGGTCCCTCGCCCTCCTCAGGGATGGACCCCATCTGGCCTGGCACAGCCCACGGGAGACTCTCGCCCTTTGCTGGCCGCCGAGGCCATGGGTCTGACTCTGCCCAGCAGTGCTGAGAGACTGAGGACAATGGAGGCAAGATGGCCCAGGCAGGCAGCGGTGCCACGGCTGGGGAGGGGACGCGGAGCCAGTTCCAGTGTCCAGGAAGGCCTGGCCTGGTCGGACCAGACAGAGTTCGCTTGTGCGTGAGCTCAGGTGTGTGTGAGCAGCTGGTGTGAGTCGCGGGACCTGGGGACTTACAAAGTAGATGTCAGTGGCGGGCACGTCCTCCTCGTCCGAGGCCTGGCTGACGGGCTCCGAGGCCTGGCTGGCGGTTTCTGCCTCCAAGGCGGACGCAGAGGCTCCGGCTGGGCAGGCCTCCACCCTGGGAATGCGGGGCAGATGTGGGATTCCTGGGTGGTTCTGGACGACACCTGGCCACCCAGCCCGGACCCCATTCGCCCTGTTCCTTCCTGGACCTCAGGAGCCTTGGAGGGGACTACAAAACGTCATCATCATTGAGACAAAAGACCTAGACAAAGCTGGGCCAATGGTAAACACCTGTTATCCCAGCACTCTGGGAAACTAGGGCAGGAAGATTCCAAGTTCAAACCCAAGGTGGGCAACCTAGTGACTCAGCGAGACCCTGTCTCAAAATGAAAAAGGGTAGGGATACAGCTCAATGAGGTCAATCCTTAGTACAGCCACAAAAAAAAAATGCTGAAACTAGAAAGTCAAGAATTTTTTTTTTTTTTTTTGGTCTTTTTGAGACAGGGTCTCACTGCGCAGTTCAGGCTGGCCTTGAGCTCACTGTGTAGCCCAGGCTGGCCTCAAACTCGCAGTGATCCTCCTGCCTCCACCTCCTGAGTGCTGTGCTGGGATTACAGGCGTGCGCCACGACGCCTGGCTCAGAAAGTCAAGAATTTGATAACAGCATTCAAGAACTACAAACACTTGACAAATGAAAAACCAGTGAAGAAAGAAGAGACTCAACTAACAACCCAGCAGTTGGGATGTGCCAGGTGTGGAAAGAAACGGGATGCATTTTTTTCCTAAGTCCCTGAACAGTTAAAAGAATGGATTTTGGCCAGGTGCAGTGGCACAGGCCTATAAGGCCAGCACTCGGGAGGCTGAGGCAGGAAGGCCACCGTAAGGTTAAGGCCAGCCTGGGCTACATAGCAAGACCCTGTCTCAAAACACAAAAACAAAACAAAACAAAAATGAACTTTATACTTGATTGTGAGAACTTTATTTTAAAAGTAACATAGTGTTCTTCAGTACTGAGGATGATTCAGGACCTCAAAAATAATAGGCAAGGACTTCTGAGCTTGCTGAGCTATAGCCCAGTCCTTGGAATTTGTTTTTTGAAACAAGATCTCATTAAGTTGCCCAGCCTGGCCTCAAACTTGCAATGCTCCTGCCTCAGCCTCCCGAAAGGCTGGAATTACAAGTGTGCATGATGGCACCCTACAAAAATCAAACTAAAGTAAAACAAAAAATAGGTCTGTTTAGGTTTTCTTCATGTTAAAGTTCATTAAAATCGTAAATACTAAAAAGGTGAACGTAAAAATGCTTACATTCATTATGTAATCTAAAATGAACCAATAAAATCTGATTAAAACAAAAGCTTAAATTCGTGGACCCAAGAGTTCTGGAGAACCTGTGGCCCAGGGTCCGGCCCCCTCAGGAGTGTGGGCCCTGAAACCAGGCTGTGCTCTGTGGGCGTCCCGGGCACTGCAGGTGCTGAGCAGCGGCCCCAGTGTCCACCCCAGCTCCAGGCCAGGACTCCCCTACATGACCACCACAAATGTCTCCAGACGTCACCCGGTGTCCCCAGGGAGCAGAAACACCCAGTGCAGAACCTCCGACTTGGACCAAAGAAGGAGCAAGAAGCAAATCCCCGCCTCCGCAGCTGGAGGGGGACCCTGGGAGCCCACGCTCACCTCGTGCCCTCCTCCTGGGGGACCGCGATCTCCACGCTGCACGTGGGCTCCACCTGCACAGTGATCTGCTGCAGGTCCTCCTCCGCGTGCGGCTCCTCCTGGGGCCTGTGGGCAACCGAGCCACGCCTCAGCTTCCCTGCTCCTCACGCCCAGGGGCAGCGGAACTCTGAGTCCCATGTCTGTCTCCAGCCCCAGTGGGAGGCCTGGTGCCCGGCAGGGCTTGGGATGCAGCAGGCTCGGCGGCTCTGTGCAGAGCTCTGCCCGCCCCAGGGCCAGCTGGGCACCTACTCCAACAGGTCAGGACCCAGTGCCCGGGGAAAGGAGGGTCGGAAGGGCCTGGCAGGCAGGCGGGACATGCAGGGTCTCCCTGCTGGCAACCCCAGAAGGGCGAGCGGGCTGAACGATGGTCTCACCGGCCGTCCTGTCCCGATGACTGTGTGCGCCGCCTGTGGAGAGATGGCAAACGAGAACCCGGAATGACTACGGCCCGAGCCCAGCGTCCTACCTGCGAGGGGGCCCCGCCCGCCCACACCCACCTGTACCGAGGCTGCTCCGAGGTCTCAGAGGGGGACCGCTCCGGGATGGAGAGGGAGGTGGACGACAGGGTCGTGGCGATGGAGGCGGTGGTGGCTTCTTCAAAAGAAGGCGGAGTGCAGGGCAGAAGGTCAGGCCGCCCTGTGTGGAGCGGACACGGGTACCCCATGGAGCTGCCACCCTCTTGTCCCACACACCCTCCCAGTGGCTCTACCTTTTCTCCTCTTTATTTTTGTCTTTTTGAGACAGGGTTTCATTCTACAGTTCAGGCTGGCCTTGAGCTCACACTGTAGCTCAGGCTGGTCTTGAACAAAAAGTGATCCACCAGGGATATAGCTCAGTGGCACAGCGCCTGCCTGGTAAGCGTGAGGTCATGAGTTCGATTCCCGGTACAAAAAAAAAAAAAGAATTCAAAGTGATCCTCTTGCCTCAGCCTCTCCAGTGCTGGGATTACAGGTGTGTGTTACCACACCTGACCTAGCGGCTCTACCTTCTATGGTGCTGAACCTAGGGCCCCACCCTGAGCACACTAACCCAAACCTCGATGTTCCACCTCCCTCATGGCCTTACAAAAGGATACCAGGGTAGAGTCTGGGGATGCAGCTCAGTGGCACAGTGCCTGTCTGCCAAGTGCAAGGTCCTGAGTTTGATTCCCAGTACCCCACCACACCAAAAATAGGCTTCAACCTCCCAGTTTTCTTTTGCTTTAGTTCTTTAGTACTGGGGATTGAATCCAGGACCTCTGCACTGAGCTCCATCCCTTTTTGGTTTTTATTTCAAGGTAAGATCTTGCTAACTTGCTCAGTTGCCCAGGCTGAGCTTGAACTTGTGATGCTCCAGCCTTAACCTCCAGAGTCCTGGGTTGAACCTCCCCCTTATCCAAGAGCTTCCAAGGGACCCCACAGGACTCTGCAGGACACACCAGCCTCCTGCCTGCCCTCCCCAGCAGTCTCCCTGCCTGGCTCGCTCTGCCTCTCACACCAGGCTGGGCCCTGCCCCTGGGCCTTTGCACAGGCAGTGTTCTCTGTGCAGGACGCTATTGCTCAGCGCCCCCCATGGCACCACCCCAGTTTTCCTGCAGCTCGCCACTGCCCCCTCTACAGGTCCTCAGGATGGGGTGGCTGTGCCCTGTGAGCCCCACTGTGGCTGGCCGGTCACCTTCATCCTCCAGTGTGGGGTAGCTGCGGGCCCCCCGCAGGTCATACTGTGCGTCCTCGCGCTCGCTGGGGATCTGGCTGGCTGAGAAGGCTGCCGTGGGCCCCAGGGGCTTGACAGCCAGCAGGGCACTGCGCCCCTTCTTTGATGGTGAGGACTTCAGGGCTGTGGGGGAGAAGGGGCAGTTGGTGCTGTCCACAGGCTCAGAGCTCCACCCTGCCGGCCACGCAGCCGGAAGGTGACTCCGCCTCTCTGGGCCTGGCAGCCTCAGCTATAGCAGCGGGGTGAACGGGCCCAGCCCCTGGGTGCCAACTGCTGAAAGGCAAGCACCCCGTCTCCAGTGGCCTGGGGGACACCCCTGCCTGCAGCAGGACGAGGGGCTCTGGGTTTCCTTCCCCACCTCCTGGTCCTCCCCGCCCTCCTCTCCCCTTGCCCGGTGCCACCCGCCCCAGGGAGCCCGGGCTGCTCACAGGAGTTCTTCCGGAAGACCGTGTTGCTCATGAACTTGAAAAAGCGCTCGGCATAGAAGCTGGGGCGGTGGACGGAGACCGTGTCCTGCAGAAGTGGCGGGGCACAGGGACAGCAGGCGGTTAGCTGCTGAGGACGGGGAGGTGGCTGCTAGCAGACAGAGCTGGAAGCTGGGGGATCTTTTCACTATGAATCCACGTGTATTTTAACTGTTTTTTCTGGCACTGGGACTAAACCCAAAGGCCTTGCACTGAGGGCCATCCCCAGCCCTTCTTATTTTTAATTTTGAGACAAGATCTTACTAAGTTGCTAGGCTGCAATGGCTGGGTTTAAACCTGTGATCCTCCTGCCTCAGCCTCTCAGAGTGCGGCTCCTAGCTGCGATTTAACTTTTGAACCATGGGAATCAGCAAGTATTCAGGGAACCTACACGTCTGTTAAATCCCACGTTAGCAAAGTCTGGCCCCTGAAGCCTGCTTTGCAAATCGTTTTATTGGCATGTGGCCACGCCCCTTCCTGTACATTTGTCTCCAGCTGCTCTGGTGCCCAAAGGCAGAGCTGACCAGGCCGGTGAGCAGTCTGGCAGGTGTTTCATGGCGCCCAGGACATCCTGGGGCTAATGGGGCCGTGGCTCAAGCACAAGGAACACTAGGTCTGCATAGCGCAGAGAGCCTGGCACAGTAGGTGTTTAAGACAGGTTGCTGTTTTCCAAGGTTTTTTTGGACCTTTGGGGCTAGAGGAGGGGCTGGCATGGTGACAAAAAGCTTCCTATGCTCCGAGAGAGGGGGCCCTGACACGGAAAGCCTCAGGGGTGTGGAACAAGGGCAGGAGAGATCTGGGGGCGCTGCACAGGACCGGACGGCTGAGCTGCTGTGGGAAGCGGGGGGTGTATCCTTCATGGCAACTCCAAACATCCCCTGCCAGCTGCCTTCTTTTTTGGTGTGTGTAGTACTGTGGCTTTTTTATTTTTTGAGACAGGGCCTTGTTAAGTTGTCCATATGGAATTTGAACCTGTGATCTCCCTGCCTCAGCCTCCCAGGGTGCTGCAGTCATCTTGACCTTCTTGATGCATATTCCGGAAGCGTCTGCCTGGATCCTTTGGAGGGTAGGGTCCTTCTTGTTAGATCTTAATATTCTATAACTATGGCCACACAGGTAATCCTCAGCACTTTAGTATGAATCAGTCTGAAGAGGGCTGTAGAAGTGCCCCTCACCCAGACAAGACCCTTCTGTGGGGACTCGAGGCGCCCCTGCAGGGCCGGCGGGGACACCACTGTGCACAGTGTGCATTTCTGGGATGGTCTGACTCAGCCGGCGCTGTCCTGAGGCACCCTGCCAACACAGTGCGAGGTTCCCCCGGGGCAGGCTCCCCCGTGGGGCTCTCAGCTGCCTGTGTCCCGTCACGCTAGCCTGCGCCGGTACTGAGCTGTGCCTACAGGGGGGCGGTAAGGAGGAGGGTGCTGTGCCTCCCTCGGAGCCTCGCGGGGGCCCAGGCGCCAGCCATGCATGTGTGGGCTGATGCGGAGAGAGAGGACGGAGAACACGCACCCCGTCGTGGACAAGGGCTTTCCAGGTATGCTCGAGCTTCTTGATGAACCTGCAGAGAGAAGGACCCCAAGGTCAGCGGCCAAAGCCAGGTGCTTCCCAGGCAGTGTGGGATGGCGCAGGCGCGCGGGAGCCTAACACATGCACACTGCGCAGGCGCGCCAGGAACCCAGCAGGGACACGCGGCGCAGGCGCAGAGACGCACCTGTAGGACTGCAGGATGTCGATGATGCCTATGTGCAGCAGCAGCCGCTCCCCGCGCCCGTTCACGGCCGGGATCCCGCCCATCCTGCAGAGAGAAGTCCGTGTGCTCAGTACGGCGGGTCTGGGGGGCCTGGACCCCAGGAGGCCACCTGGCTCCCAACGGGGCAGCTGTGAGTTCCCCACCCCACACTCTCCGTCCTGCCCTGACGGGTGAGCTTCACGCATGCTCAGAACTGGAGGCCACATGCTGCTGAGGGGGCCCTGCTGCACAACTGCAGTGTGCACACGCACGTACAAACATGCACACCCATGTGCACGCACGCACACAGCTACACACACGTCCACATAGAACTGCATACACACACGGGTATGTTCATGCACATTCCAGCACGCACACGTGCAGGTACATGCACTCACACATGTGCACTCACCCACCCCCACGCACATCCACACCCATGCACGCACATACCTGTATACATGCATGTACCCACATGCAAGCACTCACATACACGCACACACATGCACGCACTCACATACACGCACTCACACATATGCATGTACCCGCACGCACCCAGGCACACACACCCCCACATGCATGCACCCGCACGCACCCACCCACCCACGTGCACCCACCCAGATACACACATTCACATGCACGCACCTACACGCATGCAAGCATCCACACCCGCACCCCACCTATGCGCAAGCACCCACGTGCATGCACACACCAATACACACACACACACACACACACGTGTGCATGTGCTCATGCACACGCCCCATGCACACACACCCCTACATGTACATCACACTCACTCCAGACCCTCTCACACAGCAGACAGGCACACATCTACACGCACACACACAATCAGTGCACACATACACCCTGCACTCCCAGGAGGCGCTGCCAGGTCTTGGACACAGGCTGGGCATTAATCACACCACTGGGCACCGTGCCCACACCTGCTCCAGCCCAACGCAGTTAGTGAGGTCATGCAAGGCGGCAGCTGACCCAAAGCCACGCCAACTCCAGACCTCTGGGCCGGGCTGCGGCACGCACGCTCCGCACCCGCACAGCAAGCTCACCTGCTCCCCTCCGCGCCCCGCGCAGACCCTACAAACGCCAAGACAGGCTGAGGTGGACAGCGGCACGGGGCCTTGCTGCTGCCCCTCACCCGGGTCGGGCCCAGGCCGGGTCCCCCTCTGCCCTCTGGAAGCCGGCAGGATCACTTCTGGGCCTGTCCCCAGCTAGCTATGCACCCTGACACGCTTGCCCTGCCTTGGAGCCCTCGTTCCCCCAGCTGCAAAGGCGGGGAGGCCACCGCCCCCTCAGCGCTCTGAGTGCAGGCAGCTTCCTGGAGTGGTCAGAGCAAAGCGACCAGGCCCTGCTGGGATCAGGGGATATGCTGACGCTGTCACCGGACACTTGTCCATCTTATCCCTCCAAGGACAACCTGGACAACACCTAGGGCACATGTGGCTGTCACACTGCAGGAGCTCCTGGTAGGGGGTGGGCAGAGGCTGGGGCGCAGCTCAGCACCCTGCAATGTGCACGACGCCCCGCGGAGTGCGGCCGGCCTGGAGGGCACAGTGCCTGGGCCCTGTGAGCGTCTCCCCCACTAGGCCCTGGCACCGCAGCTCAGGCGGCTGCCTGTGCCGTGGGGACATGGACCTGCCTGTCTCTTCCGCCTGTGAAAGGTCTGCCTCATCCCTGGTCCTGGCCACTCCCCCACTTGTCACCGTGCGACGCCCTTACGGCTGTCCCCCTGGGCGGAGGGGGTGCCTTGTCCACACGGATGGCCGCTGGCCTCAATCCACACAATGAGGGACCGTGAAGGCACCGGCCCTGCGTGCCAAGGCCGTTACGCACCCGCATGCCCTGCACGGCCGCCCCGCCGAGGGGAGGCCAAGTCCCTCGGTGTCACAAATGCGGACGCCGGTGCCCCTCTGGATTGCTCGGCGCGGCAGGCCCCCCGCTCTCGGCCCGCCTGCGCCCGGCCCCACCTACGTGTCGTCGGTGTCGATGGCCTCGCCGCGCGCGGCGCCGCCCTGGATGGACTCCATGGCCGTGGAGTAGAGCGCCTTCTGGCCCACGGGCCGCTTCTCGTCCGCCGTGCTCTGCGCCCCTTCGGCCTGCCGCTCGCGCTCCTGCTGGTCGATGTTGTGCACCCCAAGCAGCAGGCTGTAGTCCATGATCTTGAAGCTCTCCAGCACCTGGTGGGGCAGGCAAGCCTTCAGGGGCGGGCGGCCAGCCACCCCAGCACACATCACAGTAGGCCTTGCCACACGCCGTGTCAGTGACCCTGTCCTGCGGCCACACAGGGCCGCCCGTCACCGCCCCAACGGGCCAAAGGATTGTGCTCAGGTCACTCAGCAGGTGGCCAGCCTGGGACATCAGCCCTGAGATCCGGCACCTGAAATTGATCTCAGGGTCCTTGCTCTGAGCACCATCCCCCAGCTGTTTGTCTCTTTTGAAACAGGGTGTCATTAAGTCACTAAGCTGCCCAGGCTGCACTGGAAGTCGAGATCCTCCTGCCTCAGCCTCCCAAAGTGCTGAGACGACAGGTGTGAGTCGCTGGGCCTGGCCTGTTTCTGCTTACTCTTTCTAAGGGACACATGGCCAGTGTCTGCTGGGAATGGACACTCACGGTCAGCATGGGGGCAGGCAGAGGCTTCTCCTGTTGGACAGGTGAGGAAACTGAGGCCCAGAGAGCCCACGTGGCCAGCTGGGGAGCCCTGGTCCGGGAGCCCCACAGGGATGGACCCTGCCAGGGAGCGGACAGGTGGCGGGGAGGGGGGCGGCCGCGGACCTCACCAGGCAGTCGCGCTGCAGCGTCTTGACCAGAGCGCCGAAGGTGTCCGCGTCCAGCAGCAGCCCCTCGGGCATGTCCTGCATGAAGTCCAGGTCCTTGTAGGTGGGCAGGCTCTTCTCCTTCTCCTTGCGGCTGGCGCGGCGCTTGTACGTGGAGCCCTTGAGGTCGAACTTGAGGTGCATCTTGACGACGCGCGGGAGCACGTTGTTCATGACCACCACGCGGATGTTCTTGCCGCCCGACTGCACGCAGTACAGCCCGTAGAACTTGGGCAGCAGCGTGCGCGGGTTCTGGTTCAGGTTCTGCGGGGCAGCGGGAGGCCGGGCCATCAGCAGGGAGCCTTGCGGGGACCCACGCTGCCCCCTGTGTCCTGGGAGCCCCACTGCTGCGGCCCTGCTCGTCCCCGGCGTGGCACCCACAGGACCCGTGAGATCAGGTTCTGACCATGGACCGAGCTCCCAAAGACAGAAACACGGACCACAGAGACCTTCCTTGTTTAAACCCTTTTATCAGCACCAGGGATTGAACCCAGGGCCTGCACACTGAGCTGTATCCTCAGCGTTTTTATTTCGGGTTAGGGTCTCACTGAGTCACTGAGTTGCCCAGGCTGGGCTCCAACTTGTCATTCTCCTGCCTCCGCCTCCCACAGTGCCGGGGATGACGGCTGTGCACCACCATGCCCAGCCCTGCTGACCCCTGCCCGAGACATCCCGAAGGGGAAACTGAGTCACGGTCCGTACCAGATGGCCCAAGGGGGCTGCACATCTGGCACCAGGACTTAATAGAACGGGAAGTGTCCCCGGAAAGGCACCCTGTGCCCAGCACCCCCCAGGGACTGACGCCCTCCACTGTGAAACACAGGACACGGGGAGGCGGAGGGCGCTGCTCCTGCCTCAGCAGCTGGTCTGTTACAAGAGGCGCCAGTTGGCGCCGCCCCTCCCCCCCCGGGGGCTGCGATTTCCGGGACTCAAGACACAAAGGTCACAGGAGACCAGGCAGGGGCCACGTCCACCCTGACCGTGCCCGGAGAGGTCGCCAAGGTCCCGGCTGGCCTGCTCTCGGGGCGGGGCGCGGGGCCGGGCCGCGCACCATGTAGTAGCCGGGCAGCAGCTTCTGCAGGAACTCGGCCTCTTTGTGCATGACGGTCTTGATGATGAACTCGTCGTCGCTGGTGACGTAGAAGAGGGAGCCGCTGGCGCCGGGGTTCGAGAGCTCGATGAGCGGCTCGTTGCACAGCGAATACTGGAAGGCAGGGGCGCGTCAGCGGCGCGGCTGTCCGGCCGCCGGGCCTTGCCCACCACTGAGCCAGGAACAAACCGCAGAGGCTCAGAGAGGGGCGGAGACTTGCCTCAGGTCGTCAGCAAGGGCTGGAGCCCTGGCCGACTCCCTCCGTGGCCCCGGCTGATCTGTCAGGGCGCGTCCCCGGGGTCTCCCCTCTCGTCAGTCACAGAGGCCTCATCACAGCGGGTGCTGAGGCTCGGGCTGAGACGTGTCCCCACCCTCCTTTGCAGCTGGTGTAGCCACAGCACCAGCTCTGCCCAAGGTGCATGAGCAAAAACTGAGGAGTTGGGCTCTTGGGAGGACGCCCAACACAGGTGACAACAGGTGCACCTGCCTCTGTGCCCTCTCTCCTTCCTTCCTATTTCCCGCCTGGAATGAAGATGCAATAGCTGGAATCCCGGTAGCCAAACTGGGCCATGAGGTGACTTTTGGCATGAACAGCACATTCCAATGACTGCAAAAAGTCAGGAGGGAGCTGCATCTCAGATGCATGGGCCCTGGTTCCCACCCTGGTCTTCTCCTCCCCATCTTCTCTCCTGCCGACATTTACATCTTCCCTCTGCATCCACTGCAAACGGGGGAGGATGCTGAGGGCTGGGGGAGACGTGGCCAAGCTCCAGCTGTCACCAGGCCCCGCCATCTGTCTGTCCTTTCTCCGCCCACGGCCATGAGCCACAAATACCCACGGGGGACGAAGAGGCCCACGCCTGGGCCCACCCCCTGACAGGCACAGGGAGGAAGGGACACGTCCCTCAGCCCCCGGGGCACCAGGGCCACCTTCAGCGCACCCCCATCTTCCCACCCGCTCCCCCCCGTGGACACCACTGCCATCAGCAGTGCCGGGGAGCCCCACACTGACGGCGGGCCGTGCGCGCTCCCTGCGCGGCACAGCTGGGGCGCGGGAGGGAAAGCACGGCTGGCACCAGAGCGGGCACAGCGACCAGTGACAGTGCTGTGGCCGGGAGGTGGGGCTCAGCCTGGGCAGGGCCCTGGGGCCAGCTGTCACTTGTGGCAGAAGAGGACACAGGTTACCCAGGGATGAACACGAGCCTAACATGGGCCTGCCGGGCACACGAGGCAGAACGGCACCACGGGGCCCGGCCCGAGCCGCTGTGCAGTGGGACCCGCGCGTGGGCCCGAGGCCGGTGCAGCCCCAGCTCCGTACCACCGAGGGGCGGGGCCCAGCGGGAGGGTGGTGGGCTCACAGGGACCACGCGGACCCTGGTCTCTCCTCCGCTCTGGAGATGGCCAAGGGTAAGCGATTGTGCTCCACTGCTCACTCCAGCCCTGATGTGTATGGGTGGCCACAAGCCCACAGCAACAGCCCTACCCACTGTGGACTGAACCACAAGCTCAAAGAAGCTTGCTCTTTTGTGGGCGTGTGTGCATTCTGAGATGAGGTCTCACCATGCAGCCCAGGCTGGCTTCAAACTTGAGGGATCCTCCTGTCTCAGCCTCCCAAACGCTGGGATGATAGGTGTGCACAACCACACCTGGCCTTTTATTACAATACTGGGTTACTGAACCCAGGGACTTTGCACCAATCCACACCCCTAGCCCCTGTATGCTGAATCTGAGATGGAGTCTTGCTAAGTAGCTAAACTGCCTGGGATGAGCTGGAAGTCGAGATCCTCCTGTCTCAGGCTCCCAAGTGCTGAGATGACAGGTGTGCACCACTGTGGCCTTGAAACTAGCATAACGAATGTGACAAGGGATGGGACAGCCAAGCTGCCCAATGGGTCACAAAAGGCCACGAGGTCTTCCTGTCCTCAGACCTCCCTGGACGGGGTGACAAACAACCCTTGACGGCAAGGGAGGAGCTTCGCTGACAGCATGAGCCCCTTCCTGGCCGGTCCCCCAGGGGCCCCGGGTCTTGCCCCAGGCACCCGTGAGGGCAGACAGTGCTGCCTCCCACCAGGGCCCGGGCTGTGTGTCCCACCGGTGCCGCTGACCCCGCTCACCAGGTAATCATCCGGCCGGATCCCAAAGAGCTCCCGGAAGTAGCGAAAGGCAACTGGCGCATAGGTCTTGAACCGGAAATCCTGGAAGTGGTGGGCGGGGGTGAGGTTGCTTCCTTCGCTGCGGAAGAGGACGCAAGGGGGGACGGTGAGGGACAGCGGCTTCCTGGGCACCTCTCCCCGCCTGGCCCAATCCCACACATGACATGGGGCTCCTGGGGGACACAGGGACCCGTAGCTTCTCTCCCAGCTGGGTGTGGTCAAGTGACAGCACTCTGCCACAGAGACATTAGCACAGCAGAAACAATGTGTTACTTCCTGGCTGAGCCTTTCTCCTTCTCCTTTTCTGCCACTGGAATGCAGACGTGATGGCAGGAGCACAGACAGCCATCCACAACTGCTGGTTACAGAAGCCACATACCAGAGACGGCAGAGCGGAGGAACCAGAAGCAATGTGTGACCCCAACACCATGGGGCCACCTGACTGGCCCTGGATCACCTGTAGACATTTTTACACAAGACAAAAACGAACTGCCACCTCTTCCTTCTCCTATTTTATTTTATTTATTTATTTTTTTTGGTACAGGGAATTGAACTCAGGACCTTGTACTTGGCCAGGCAGGTGCTTGTGCCACTGAGCTATATCCCTGGCCCTCTTGTTTTTAAAAGGCTGCTTTTACGCTGGGTCCCTCTGTTTCAGCTGCCGCTGTCAGTAGAGAAGGTGGTCAGGGTGCAGGGGGGAGGCTGCTCCATGCTGGGAGCTCCTCTGCCCCCACGGGAGCCCGACCTCCTGCACTGCTCTGCGGGTATGCGAGCCGGGCCTACCTGGGGAAGAAGATGCTCTCCACCACGTAGAAGTCCTGCATGAGTACATCGCGCTCCGGCTTGGAGCTCAGGTTGCCCACAGTGTAGCCGATGCCCAGCTGGATGGCCCCCTTCAGGGTGGAAGACGTGGTCTGTGGGGACACATGGGGGCACGTGCGGACATCAGGCCCTGGACCCCTGCATGTGCCAGGAGGGGGCTGGTGTCCAGCTGCACCTCTACCACCAGACCTACCAGGCCCAGGGCATGACCGCCTCGGGGACCTGCCCTGCCCCGGCTACACAGGCAAGGGGGCCAGCCAGGAGAGGGCCACACGCTCTGTTCTACTTCAGCAAAGCACTTTTCTTGCAGTACTGGGGATGGAACCCAGGGCCTGCGCACCTAGTTGCAACCCCAGCCTTTTTTATTTTTATTTTGACAGAGTCTCAGTAAGTTGCTCAGCTGCCCAGGCTGAGCTGCAAGTCGAGATCCTCTTGACCCAACCTCCCAGAGTGCTGGGATGACAGGCGTGGGCCAAGCTATTAGTCTCCAAAGTACAACCCAGGTCTGTCTGTTGGGGGGAGACCGTGGCCGTGGGCCAGGTCTGAGGCCCCTAAGAGCACCTGCCTCTGCCCGGTCTTGGGGGGGCGGCATGCGTGGCCTGTGGGTCCCTGGGCGTTCCTCCCCTACCCCCGGTGCCCAGCACACGGGACCTTCTTGTAGGTGGTCTCGCCAGATGCGTCCACACTGCGGTGCCCCAGCTTCTTCCCATGGCCTGGGCCGGGCTGTCCAGTCATCAACGGGGCCTGGGGACAAGGAAGCAGGAAGTGTGAGGTTGGCAAAGCGACCAGGACGTACCAGAACCCAGGACAAGGGGCCGAGTCACCTCGTGACACCCGGGGCCCGCCCTGGTCGCCCACAAGGCACCCTCGGGGATGAGGAACAAGGGGGCGCGGGGCTCGGTATCCACGGCCCAGCTCCCCAAGTAGAAGACACTTCCTCAGGCTCCGGGGATGCCAGGGCCGGGGTCCTCTGTGGGGCATCCTGGGCCCTGCAACGTCCCTGGCCTCTGCTCGATCCATGCCAGGAGCCCCCAGGGTGATGGGCACAGATGTCCACGGACACAAGGAGGCGGGACCCGGGCGAGGCCCTGCAGGCCCAGCTGCCTCCCTGAGGACGGCCCATGGCTGTGGCGGGCTGTCGTGGGCAGCAGGGGTGTCGGGGCTGGTAGGCGTGAGGTCACTGTGACTGGTGCTGCCGCACCCTTCAAGGTCATGGCATGGATGGCCGCGACCAGCACGAACCACGGAGGCCAGGTCTGCAGACAGGGCCGGGCCCTGCCGTGGCACTGCCTGCCGGGTGACACTCAGGAGCCCCAGCCCTGCCCCAGGTCTCCCCAGCAACGCTGCCCCGGCCTCAGCTCCAGAAATCCCATGGCCCTGTCCTTGGCGGCCGCTTCTCAGCAGGCTCCAGCCGGTCCTCCCCTGGGCCACCAGGGGGCAGGCTCCTCCCAGGGTCGGGCGCTCCCGGCCCCCACACCCCTCCTTGCGGGCCCCCACCACACTGGGGCAGCCAGGGCCTCCGTGTGGACACCGGGTGCTCAGAAGAATGCGTGGGCAGGAGGCATCTGTGGGATGGGCAGTCTCAGGTGGCCAAGGCTACACCAGCTCCTGCTGGGGACAGGACCCCGACCCCCCACCCTGAGAGCAGGGACTGAGGCACAGGGACCCGGCTTGTCTGGGCTGTCAGCAACTCCCGCCCCACTCTGCCACAAAAGCCACCAGGTCCACGCTGCCTGCCGACCTTCCGAGGCGTCTCTCCCTCCCCCACCCTCCTCCGAGGGCTGCCTCCTCCCTCCTCTGGCCCAGGCAGGTCCGGTGGGGACACCAACCCTGCACCCGTTCCCCAGACTCACCTCTGCCAGCGCTGCCTTCTTCTGAGCCAGGCCTGGGGGGGACAGGAGGAGAGAGTTCAGCCCAAGGACGACCCTGCTGGCCACCTTGCTGTCCGGGTCACCAGAGGCCCTGCCTGACCCTCCCCTACTCGAGCTGGGGCTTGTCCCCTCGCCGGGTGCCCAGGACCCTGGAAAGGGTCAGGGGGACCAAGTAACGGCCACCACGCAGGCCCCATCTCAAGCTCACACTCAGACACACGCCGGGCGGGGGGGACCGGCAGGAGCCTGACTTGGGGCGTGGTCGCCGGGCTCAGGGCGGCCCTATGCTGGGGGTGTGGGGGTCTCTGAGCAGGTGGGGGCGTCACAGACCACAGCTACCCAGCCGCGGGGTGGGGGACGAGCAGCTGGAGACGCTGGGCAGCAAAGGGCACTTGAGTCCTGCCCATGCCATGCCGGGCCCTGGCGAGCGAGCCCTGGCCAAGGGACGCGGTCCCCGCAGACACTAGGCTGGGGTCAGGACACCAAGAGGCCACGCGCTGTCCAAGCCCCGGCACCGTCCCATCCCCTCACAACCCCAGGACCATGGTGGAGGGAGGGAAGGCGCTGATCGCAGCCCCACCCGGCCCGCGGCTCCCGCTGGCCTCTGCCTCCGGGCCCAGGCCGGCCTGTGCCATGCGAGCCCAGGACGCAGGGCACTGGGTCAGTGGGACCCGGCTAGGCCCACCTCTCTCCCTAGCCGGGAGCTTGTGGGAGCGCGGGAGCAGGCGCAGGAGGCTCCCAGGCCTCGTCCTGCTCAGTCCCGTCCCTGCCCACCCGGACACCAGCACTGAGGCCCCCCCCCCCCGTGAGGAGCAGGGGCAGGAAGAGTGTGGGCGCGAGGCCGTGCACCCCAAAGATGCCCACACCCACCCCAGCATCAGCTGAGGCTGTGATCGCAGACCCCAGAGGGCTCATCCCGGACCCCGCGGGCCCGGCCTGGGCCGCACTGACAGGGGACGGGACGGGATGGGACGGGACGGGAGCGGCCCGAGGAGGAGCCGCCCCAGCGACTGTGCGGTGAGGAGGGGCCGAGAAGGGAGCTCCGGAGGCTGGGTGCAGCCCTGCTGTGCGGGCAGAGCGCAAGGCCAGGGTGAGCACGCTGCTGCTGCTGTCCTCGGAGCCCTTGTGAGGATCCACGCAGGGACATCGCCCTGGAGATGGACCTGGGGCCTTGGCACTGAGCTACACTCTCAGCCCCTTCTAGTTTTTATCTTGACACAGGGTCTCGCTAAGGCGCCCAGGCTGGGCTGGAAGTCAAGATCCTCCTGCCTCAGCCTCCCAGAGTGCTGGGGTAACAGGTGTGCACCGCCACATGCTGCGTTTCCTATTCTCTTTAATAACCCCGGAGCAGGCCCACGCACAAGGCTGGTTCCCGGCCGTCTTTTCACTCTGTTCTCCCTTCACAGATGAGGAGCCTGAGGGCCAGGGAGGAGAGGCGACCTGACCAAGGTCACAAGGCTGGGTCGTGGGCAGGGGTGGGGCCACGGATAGGCACAGTGTGTCCTCAATGCCTCCTGGGGCCCTGGCACACACTGGACCAGCTTGTATCTTGGGGGGGCTGTGCACCCCTCAGCTGCCTCCCAGCTCTGACCCAGATGACAAGAAGACTCCCCCAGGTTGAAGATACAACATGTAGCCAGCTGAGCCACTGCAGACCCATACTCCCAGCACTCTGAGAGGCTGAGGCAGGAGGATGACGAGCTAGAACCTAGTCTGGGCGACTCAGCGAGACCCTGTCTCGAAAGTAAGAGGTACGGGGGGTAGGGGAAGAAGTCAAGCAATCAGGTGTGTGCAGGTGAATCGGGACCCGTGCCAGCCTGGCGGTGGCGGGCTCTCAGGTGCCACAGGAACAACGGCTGTGCCTGCGCGGCGCGACCCATATTTGGAAATGGGGTCTCTGCAGACGTGATCGGGCTGATCCAGCCCCACTGAACCGTGTGACAGCAATGAGACACACGCAGGGAAAGCGTCCCAGGCCGATGAGGCGGAGACGGAGAAGCTTCCACAAGCCAAGGGATGCAGCAGATGCCAGCGGCCAGCAGATGCTGGGGAGGGGTGGGAGGGCTTCTCCCGCTCGGCCACCTGCCCGCACCTCTCTCTTCCATTTTTGTCATTTACTTTTCCCCCTTTGGTTCTGGGGAGCGAGCCCAGGGCCTCACCAAGTCACACCCCCAACCCCATGTGCTCTGATTTTGGGACAGGGTCTCACTATGCAGTTCACACTGGCCTTGAGCTCACTTTGTAGCCCAGGCTGGTCTTGAACTCACAAAGATCCTCCTGCCTCAGCCTCCCGAGTGCTGGGATTACAGGTGTGCGCCACTACACCTGGCTAAGGACAAGGTCTTACTGAATTGCCTAGGCTGGTCTTGAACTTACAATCCTCTTGCCTCAGCCTCCTGAGTATCTGGAATGACAGGCTCACAGTGACCTCAAACTTCTGGCTTTCAGGATCGGGGTGAAGAATTTCCCCTCCTTGGAGCCGCCAAGCTGTGGTCATCTATCACAGCAGCCCCGGTCTCCTTCCTCTGCTCAGGGCTGGGGCCGGGGCGGCGAGCAGCAGAAGGTACTCGTAGCTGACACAGTATTCGCCTAGGCCTCCCAACATCAGAACAGTTCAGGGTCAGCAGCTCAGGCCCCGGGAGAGGGAAAGGACAGGAGGCAGAAGGCGGTGGGCACGGGACAGAACAGCGCCGAGACCACACAGCAACCAGGGTCTCGGGACCTGAGGTTGGGTCGTGGTCTCCCCACTTGGTCCTCTGTGGCCCCCACACCTGTACACGGCCCCAAAGGCTCTGCCTACCCTCCCCATGGGGAGGTGGCAGTCTCCCCACCCACGCTGAGGGCCCCTGTATGCATGGCGCACACTGGAAAGTTCCTGTCCCCACTCCGGAGGATCTGACACCGAGCCCTGGCCTGTCAGCCCCACCCCAGGACCAAGCCGAGACCCCTGGACAGGGCTTCCCAGATCTCACCAGTCCCCCGCCTCCGTTTCCCTCCCTACCCAGCTTACCTACCCTGGCTAACAAAGGGGTGGTGACGCCTGCCTGTCGCCCTAGCACTCTGGGAGGCTGAGGCAGGAGGATGTCAAGTTCAAGTCCATTCGGGCCAACCTAGCAAGACTCCATCTCCAAGTAAAAAATAAAAAGGGCTGGAGGGCGCAGCTCAGTGTGAAGGCCCTGGGTTCCATTCCTAGCACCGGAGGGGAAAAGAGAAGGAAGCCCTGTGCCACCCCTGCACAGGCAGCGGCCACCTAGGGCAGGGCCATCATGTCCAGGGGACCGGAGGCCAGGAGCAGCAGACAGAGGATGGAGCGCGCAGAGGGGCAAAGCAGGCCAGTCCCTGCGCGGCGCGGGCCGTGCTGTCCCCGAGTTGAGGAGCTCCACCCAGCCTGCGATGTGAGCAATTACCTCCCGAATCAGCTGCCCCGTTTTCGAGGAAATTAAGTTTAAAAATAGTGAGGGGAGGAAGCGAGGTGGCTGTGCGAGCTGAGCCTGCCGCAGCTCGCGTCACAGCCCGCGTCACCAGCAGGATGGCGTGGGGTGCCTGGGGCACCCGCCAGAGTGGCCCAGGCCTCCCGGGAAGCAGCCCTCGCCCCTCCTCACCAGCCGGCCTCTGCTGCTCTGTGACCGCAGGCAGGTTCTGCGGGCCAACTGATGGGAAACCCCTCTCTCCCGGCCCCACCAGGGCAAGGGACTGGAGCTGCCACCCGCTTCGACCCCTTCCTGCAGGGACCTCCCAGTCAGTCACCTTCCGCCAGCGGAACAACCACTCAGCCGCTTCCTGGTCCGTGCCCAGCCTCAGACTTCACCTGCCCAGACGCTTGGCCTCTCGCCTGCGGCCTTCTCTGTCCCATTAATGCCACCCTGTCTTGGTTCTTCCTGGCTGACATCCCTGAGCGTTTGTTGACTGACTGACTGATGGTCAGAATGGACCTCCACAACGGACCTCCACAGGAGCTGCTGCTTCCTACTGTGGGATGTGGAAACAGGCCCAGCATCCTGCCCACATCCCCCAAAGATACTGGTGGAGAAGGCAGACGGGGGACTTGGCAGTGAACCCACACTCAGAAGGGACAAACAGCAGAGAGGGAAGAGGGGCCAGGCGGAAGGACAGGGGCCGGGCCACGCCCACCCCGGAGACCTTGCAGCCACTGGTGGTGCTGAGTGCCTGCTGAGGGCCAGCGGGTGGCTCCTGGGGAGTGGACAGCACAACGTCAGCGCAGAGCAGGATGGGCCTGTGGCGTGGGTCCGTGCCCAAGCCCAGTGGGCGGCACCCAGGCAGCCCCAGTGAGGAAGCGAGAGGCAGGCAGGAAACAAGCGTGGAAGGGTGGGCGGGCGAGGTCAAATGGAGGGCACAGGGTCGGGAGGGGACAGTGGGAAGGGAAGCAGCAGCTCTGCCCCTGTCGCCTGATGGCGTTGCTGCCCATGGCCAGACCCTCCCTCTCGACTCCCTCCTCCTGGAAGCCCCCCAGGAGCCAGGCTCCATCCAGCCCCAGGGCCTTTGCACAACCTGTGTTGTCCACCTACAGCACTTCCTGAGTTCTCTGCAGGGTCTGCTCCACTGCTTACCCCAGACCTGGCTGCAATGTCACCCCTCAGAGTGGTCCCCAAAACAGTTCCTAGTCCCTGTCCCCTCACCCCCCTCCCCAGGCCCAGACCACCCTCCCAGGCTGGCACATGGGTCATGCACGCCAGGAAAGCGGTCATGGCCAGAAAGGAGCAGGGGCTTCAGGCTGGCATGAGGGGTACAGGGTGCTGTACCCCAAGGCTGGACCGTGGCCACCAGGCACCCCAGGACAGGACGGGGCTAGGGGCCAGGAGAGGACATACTCACTGCCTCGGTGGGACAGCCCAGAGTGCCCCTTGTCCGGGGGCAGGCCTTGAAGACCCGGCACCAGGCCCTGCAGGGCTCCACACATAGGCACAGAGCCGGGATCCCTCTGAGAAGTGCTTTTGCTTAACCTTACAGAAAGCAGTGGGTGGTGCATGCATCCTCCCAGCACCCTGTGAGGCTG